CACTTCCGGTAGTTTGTTCTCCACCAAGCAAATATAGATACAAGATCGCATCGCACACGGAGGGAAGACCCCGGTGGTGACAAGGCGGGACTTGGGCCGAGGAAGAGTGCACGTTTTTCGTCTTCGATACAACGTTGACGCGGAGATCCCCCGACAGCTTTAGATGCTGCGGTGCTCTTACAAAGGGTGGTGTGCGAGAGAGAACACAATCTGTCTGTTTGGGAGAGAATTGAGAAAGGGGGGCAGGGTGGCGTGCGGTGGTGTTTCGTGCTTGGGGCCCCAATGCCAGGCCGGACTCGGTCGCGGAGACGAGACACCTGCCGCGGGGCTGCTGGGGGCGCTTCGAACCCCTTCTTGGGCGTCCCCGGCCCCACCGCCACCATCCCGCCGGAGTTGATGACTTATTGAGCGATTGGTTCGAGCGGCACATCGCCTGATGTAAACATCGCGGAAGATAAGGGGCGCTGCTGGCGGGCGCTGCGCGTGGCGGAGGCGCCGTGGCGGGCCCGGGCGCGCGGTCTCCTCCGGGCAGCGAGCCGGCAACCGCTAGAGCAATGCGTGACAACTCCTCCACCTACCTCGTCCACCGCTCAAGTTTGTACATCACCCCGTGCCCCCTCCCACCCACGGCCGGCGGCCGGGCCTTTAGTCCGGGCTCGTCGCCGTTAGCGCGGAGTTGGCGCGGAGTTGGCGCTATCGCGGCGCGCGGGAAGAGCCGCGCGGCTATTTCTGACGAGCTGTCGATAACGCGGGCCTCGCTCGCGGGCTATTCAGCTCGAGTCTGAAGGACGGTGGCGTAAAACTCGACCGGCCAGGCCTCCGCGGTTCTACCGGTGTGTTGGGCCGTATATTCGGCTGACGACGCCTTTCTGTTTGCAGGGTCCTGCAGGAAGAGCGCCTGCGGCGAGGAGGCGGCCTGCATCCCCAACAAGGACCGGAGCCGCGCCATGCACAAGTGCGTGTGCCCGCACGACCTGTCGCCGCCCGACCACAGCATGCGCTGCACCAGGCAGACGGGTGAGCTGAGCGCCGAGCTCCCGCGGGCGGTAGGCCGGCCGGCCGCACGGCTGTGCGCCGGGCCGGTATCTCGCCCAGGTAAGGCGCCCCTAACGCCCCCCGCCTGCTTGCAGTTGCAGTGGCCGACCTGGCGCCGGTCGGACCCATCCACCTGCACATCGCGCCCCCGGCCCAGGGCGGCGCGGCGCCGAGCCCCATGCCGCCGTCCATGACCACGAGGGACCCCTCCGTCGGACCCATCAAGGCCAGGGGCGTGGGCATGCACTGGGGGATCGGCGTCGGGGTGTTCTGCGCCGCCGTCATCGTGGCCCTGGCCGTGCTGTGGTACTCGCGCCAGCGGTCCGTGCGCAGCCGCAAGAGCCAGACGCCGCGCAGCCTCAGCAAGGGCCCCCTCGGCTCGGAGATGTTCCTGCCCAACCCGCAGTACGCCCTGGGCATGGCCGGCCTGGGCGGCGACCCGCTGCGCGCGCAGCAGGGCGGCCCCACCGTCACGCTCATCGACCAGCGCGCGCTCAGCTTGCAGGAGAGCATCGGCGAGGGCTGCTTCGGCAAGGTGTACAGAGGTGAGTCGGAGAGGACCTCGCTTGTTGTGATCGACTGATTAAGCGAGAATATACGACCCGCGCGTTGGCGACGGCCTTAGCTTCCTGCTCGAGTCGACGTGTCATCAGAGATGAACTCCCAGCGGCGCGCTGCGCTGTCGACAGAGACACTGAGGTGCATCGGGTGTGGTGTGTCCTGCGCAGGTGAGCTGCGGGTCGCGGATGGCATCGCGCAGACCGTGGCCGTCAAAGTGCTCAAGGAGTCGGCGACGACCGAAGCCGAGGAGGACTTCATGAGGGAGGTGGAGGTGATGAGCGCCTTCCAGCACCCGCACATCCTGCGGCTCATCGGAGTGGTGCCAAGGGGTGAGTTGGGCAACGGCGCGTGCCTGGCAGGAGTCTCAGTGCGGCCCTTCTGACCCGAGGGCTCACCCGACAGCTTCAAATACACTCAGTGTACCGGGTGATTCACTGGAGGAGACGCATCAGGTGCGGGTAGGTTTGCCTACTCCTCGCTCTGCAAAGCGCCATGGCCACGGCCTCTTAGGTAGGCAAACGCGCCTGCTGCGTCGACCTGCGCCTTTCCTGAATCACCCGGTTCAAGCTTGCGGTCAATCGGTTGGCTATTCAACACTACTCGCCCCTATGCTATATTCGTTCTGACCACCGCATGGTCCTTCCTATACAGAGCTCGAGTCCGCGCCGTGCATGGTGTTCGAGTTCATGCCGTTCGGGGACCTGACCGAGGTGCTGCGGTGCTCGAGCAAGAGCCCCTGGGCGGCGCCGCGGCCTGGGCTGCCCCCGCTCACGCCGGACGCGCTGCTCCACATCGCGCTGCAGATCGCCCTCGGCATGCGCTACCTGGCCGCGCAGCGCTTCGTGCACCGGGACCTGGCCTGCAGGAACTGCCTAGTCGGCCACAACCTCGCCGTCAAGATCGCGGACTTCGGCATGAGCAGGGACGTCTACACGTGCGACTACTACAAGGTGAGTTGTGATCGTGATAACGAAGGGGTTGAGCAGGGCGCGTCGTTACGTGAAAACGCGTCGTAACGTGTGACGAAGACGCCCAAACTCTAAACAAAATTAAAAGCGTTATTAAAGCATATCCAGCTTTCTGAATGTATTTCAAACGAGATAATAATTTTAAAACTTTCGAAAACGCCTCAAAAATTAATTGAAATTACAATTTTATTCTTTGTTTTGGGCGTTTTCTTACGCGTTACGCTACGCCGCCCTCGGTTTGAGGCGAGACCGGGCGACACAGTGGTGCCTGACCGCGAAGGGGCTTTCCTCCTCCAATTTGTCGTCTGCGAAGATAAAGTTGTGCACGCGTCCGCACTGCGGGCAGCAGCTGTTGTGCGATTACTTCGACGAGAGCCGAACGGCAACAACAACAAATTTGTCTCTTTATTTGTAGATGGGTGGCTCTCGGGCGCTCCCCGTCCGCTGGATGTCACCCGAGGCACTCCTCTACGGCCGGTTCACCCTCGAGTCGGACGTGTGGAGCTTTGGCGTGGTGCTGTGGGAGGTCTTCACCCGCGGCAAGCTCCCTTACTACGGCCACACCAACGACGAGGTAGGCCAAACCTGCGCCGCGGTGCAAATTAAGGCGGGGGGGCTGAATCAAGGCAAATGCTCACATTCCGTTTGGTCCGCAGGCACTCAAGCTGGTCCTGCAAGGCGTGCTGCTGCAGCTGCCGGACAGCTCCGAATGCCCGCTGACTGTCATCGACCTGATGCGCTGCTGTTGGAAGACAGAGCCACGGGATCGCCTCCGCTTCCCCGAGATCTGCGCTCGCCTGGAGGAGGCTCTCGAGGAGGCCATCAAGGGCATTCCTCTGCTAGAGAAGCACGACGTCGACGATGACGACGGTGACATCGGCCTCCCTAGACCGCCCGGCTTCGTCCCCTCGGACCTGCCGCCTCTCAGCGTGTGGTACGGTGCTACGGCCCCCGACACGGACCTGGAGGACATGGACGTACACGGCGCGCGGCGGGGAACGCCCGGGCCCGAGGAGCAGCTCCTGGACCCAGACAACTACCTCCTGCCGCGCGCCCCGGACCCCAACCGAGTACCGTACCTGGAGCCTATCGCAGACTGAGCGCCCGCATAGCAGTCTTGTTACCTAGTCAAAGGCGAAGCACCCAGAAATTCGTTTCCTTCAGTGTATCTCCAAACGCAATGAAAGTACTACCTCTTGTGGAAGTGTCAGGCTAATGGCAATAAGAAAACAGTAATACCCTTCCAACGGCAATGAGTCGGTCATGGCCATTCCAAAGGCAGTATTCATTGACAATTTTGGCAATGAACTTTCATTGCCGACAGTGCGGCAGGGTTCGAATTGCAAATAAGTTTAAGGGAAACATACTTTTTTTGCGACCATGGCCAAAATTGGCAATGGATACTGCCTACTGCCTTTGGAATGGCAATGACCGACTCATTGCCAATGGTGAGGTATTACTTTTGTCTCATTGCCTGTGCGCCGTTCATTGACAAAAAAGTTAGTACTGCTCTTAGCCAAAAAATGGCAATGATCAATAATACGTTTAAAAAACAGTGTTGATGCAAGGCAAAACTGCCTTGCGTTCCAGAAATCGACCTGGCATTAACACGTTGAGTCCCAGGGGGGTATCAATCACGTGTGACCATAAGTGTGGTCACGTGGGAATCAACGTGTTTAAGAAATTGCCTAAACTCAAGGAAAATTCTTTCCTTTATGTATATTATTACTCTGAAACAATGGAATTTCTTTGAACCAAGGAACAAATTTCCTGACGTTATTTTAAAGAACAGTTTTCTGGGTGGAGAACGCAGTCGTTGTGTGCACGGCTCAGAGCAAATATATTGCTCTGAAAAACTAAACTACGAAAAGGGTTGGAATCTCAAATGCAGTCATGAATGGGAAGGGAGGGGGAGGGTGGATCACACGCCATCATGGATGGTTCTGTCCCATAACTATTTATTGTTCTAAGAGAGTTGACACTTATAGTTCGTAAGCCTTGTACATAAATTGTAAATAGTGACAAATGACCATGTATAAAATAATGCCCTCCAAAATCTTTGTAAGACTTAAAAAAAGTACCTGATATGTTAGTGAACATCTAGTGCGTCTACATTTTCAACTTCTGCAAATCATAAGGGTGGGTTCAGAGAACACGAAACGCAAGCGCCATTTCACGCGCCGTGGGCTTCACGCAGCAATGAGGGACCGACTTGACTCTCGTCACGCCGGGCGCCAGGCGTGAACATCACGCTCGGCATGATAATCGAGCTCGCGTTTTGGGAACTCTGAATGCCCCTTTATATAGTTCTATCACAGTTTACCAGACAGCTCTTCTATAAAAAACAAATTAATTGAAAAGTATAACACAGTAAACATTATCAACTTCTTTGAGAATGATCGACTCCGGATCGACTACTGGTTTTGTGCATTTATCACAAGCTGCGCAGGAATTAAATTAGTACAATTTTTAGAATACATTTCCTGTGGTGTATTTTCATGGTAGTATGACGAGAAAGTCTGCCAGATGACTGATTTGTAATTGGCAATAATAAAGTTACCCACTACATAACTTAAAAATATTTTTATTTCACCCTCTGCATGCCAAAGTTAAAAACACCATGATGTAAATAATTACTTACTCTTAAATTAATAGATTGACTGGCAACAACCGCATTAAATGGGACCGTTTAACAGATAGCAATTTTTACCTTTTTTCTACTGCTAATTAAAATAAATCAGCGCTGAGAGCGTCAAATGTGAGATCGAACAATGTTAAGCGGGTGGTACATCACACAATGTTGAAGCGTCACTGGGAAATCAGACGATGTTCATAGGACTCATCTTAATTTGAAAAGAATCTGAAATATTAATCAGGACTGACATTGATGTGTCCACACTAACTCTTCCGTGCCATACTTTGCAAGATGAAGTTGAGGCGAGATGAGTTATAATGCAACGATAGCAGGAAAACAACTTAAAAATAGACAGTAAAAAAGAAGCTATTTTAAAATACACAATAAGGATGACGCACATAGGAAACATTTGACAGTCTTACCCTCACACACCAGTAATACTAGTAATGTCTCCACTCTCCAAGGATTCATACAAGTAGAACAAATGCCCAAATGCCTCCAAATCGCCTATAATGATCTTCAACCTTAAACAAGGTAGATGTACGCCAGACCACGTCTCGCGTAACAGGCTTAAACACTGTTACGCTGCGACGCGCCTGGCATACATCTACCTTGGCCTGCGGCGCTGACGCCCGAGTCGGATAGTGCAAAAATGTACACAAAGATACGGTCCTCCGGCCCGTCAACGGCCCGTCACTTCGACTAAGGGTTGTACATTTTTTCGCTTATTTTCGTCAAAAATACCCTCTAGGCCCTCAACGGTTTGAGCTAGAGCAAAACGGACAAAATTTTCGCCCAAAGAGCTCTACTTTCATGCGTTGCCCCTCAGGAAACCATAAAAAAATATTTTTAAAAAACGTCATTTTTGGGACCTGTTATTTTTGATTTTTTTAAAAGCCAATTTTTGAGCTAGAATGTTCATCTTCGAACTCGATCTGTCGTTTCATGACACAAAACGACCCTGAAAATCCCAGGTGGCTCGCTCAATTCGTTTTCGTGTTTTCGTGCGGACAGATACACAGACAGACAGACACACAGACAGACAGAAAAAGTTTTTTCCTACCAGACGGAGTAATAGGCTTCGCTAATCGCTCAGCCAACAAAAGACATAAAACAGATTGACACAGAATAGAGAAGAAATTTTCTTTTTCAAAATTCAGTAAAACCCCTGAATGAACTGAAACAAACAAGCTATTCACCAATTTTTTATCACCACTTTCTGCGCGTAAACTTTAAAAGAAGATATCCTACAAAAATAGAAGCACACACTTGGGACCTCTTTAAAGTAATGTTCATGGCACCCTGATATTGTTAGTGTTAAGACATCTCCTGTGTTGAGAAATATACACTGGGATTCCATCCCTACACCTACAGTGGCTCACAAACTAATTTTATTGACAAATATAACGAAAATGTAATTTTGGGAGATAAAAACCCCCTTAACAAGCATTGTCATTGTCTCTCTGTCGAAAACAATCATCCAGCACAGTGGAACCAGTCCTAATTAAGGAGCTACAGCGCATGGAAAATGGAAAACCGCAAATTTAAAGAACGAACCGCAAATTTAAAGAACGCAAGCGTTTTAGAGCATTTTCTATTTGTTTACATTTATTAGTTTCAAAAAATAATACCAATTTTTCCTAGTGCTAAGTCCAGAAAATGTGACATATGTAAATTAGGGCTAAAGCAGCAAATTCTGACAACGGTTTTGGAGCGACCAACTATTCTAAAGAAAATAAGGGAATAAGGCGGGGAAGTGCATAGGTAGGCCACACATTCTGCAGCTGTGGCTTGTGGGTGGCCTCACAGTGTCTGTCAGGGGCTTGAGAGCCGCACGGTTTGGCCGGCGGAAGGGAAGACCCTCGAAGGTATTCCGCTGTAAGCAAACCGGAACCTATACATAGAAACAAGCAGGCCCGCCCTTCCGCCAAACGAAGATGCCAGCTCCGCTTCGCTCCGCCGGCAACTCCGTTCGGCAGGGGCCGGGCCTGCTTGGCCTGCCGGCGGCGATGGTCGGGCCTGCGGCCCGAACATTTCTGTCACGCGATTTGCTGAAGAACATGATCGAATGATGTAGCGGGCCTTTCTGCTTTGAAAAAGCTATCCAGCGGGCTTATGCAAACGACCTCTGTGTGTCTGTCTGTCTGTTCCACTAGAAGGAGATGTGCTAGAGACTTCAAATTTTCAGGGTATCTTAAGGTCCACTCCTAGAGAACGAAACGCCTACGGCAAATCCTGGCAACCACCCCCAAGGGTGTGAATGGGGGTATCCAAGGTTCAAAAATTCTTCCAAAAAGTGTTTTTTTATGTTCTCCATCAGTGTAACTCGTGAAAGTGTAAAGCCCTTTGGCCGAAAATTTCGTCCGTTTTGCTCTATCTCTAACCGTTTAGGCGCTAGAGGTTTTTTTTTTACGAAAATAAGCTAAAAGTTGCCATAGTGAACAATAAGTTGTAGAAAACGTTAACACTGCGTGTTAACAAATAGACGATCCGAATAAAAGACAATCTAATACAAAATTATTTTTACTAATTAATCAAACTTGGAACCCATCACCCATCCATCTCCTATAATTTCAGTGACCATATACGGGTCTACTCATAAATGATGGGTACTGATGGGTTCCTCATAGAAGCACTCTAATGCCTGAAAAAATTGTGAAAATGTGTTTATTGCATTACTGAACTTCCAATTTACATTTTGCAAACTTGGGCTGCATCAAGACCAGCAAAATCTGAAGTGATTGGTGATAGGTGATGGGTTCTAGGTTTCATTGGAGGCCCACCTTTAGATAAGTTATATTAGACTTGGTATTGTTGCAGAACTATGGATCTATTTGCAAGGTTCAGGCGCAACATTGGGGAAAGGAAAGTGAGGCGTCTGCCAGAAGATCTGATCCGTGGACAACTCTACACTGTCATTCGAATGGAAAGGAAATTGAGTGATTTCAAGGATAAAGATGGGAATCAAATCTTCAATTTGATTGCCCACTTTAGAGAGAACTCTACAAATTTTTATGTCTCTATGGGATCTGACCATTATAATCCGTCTGAAGAGGAGGTTAATGCGTTCAATGATCTAATTTCTCGTGGGCAAAATCCTAGGATTGCCTTTTATGGCTTTCTTGGAAAAGTTAAAGTGCTCGACCTATTGAAACATGACGAAGGAAAATGGCTGTTCAAAAGTGCTAGGGGTTGACCATTCAGAGTCTTAGTGTACATGGAATATCTGGAATAGTTTTGGAATATGTTGGAAATTTTTGGAATATAATTTTG